CTTGGATTTGTCTGTCCTTTGAATATATGATTTTTAGCCATCACTGGAATACACCGGAACACAGCAGCATTGTTGTTCCAGAAATAGTACAGCACGTGTGGTTGGGAGGTTTTTGGGAATAGAATAAATGTCATTGAAGTATGGATAAAAGTGTAGGTACACAAATATGTTTAGCAGGCTGGAGTGTAGCCAGAATGCTTGTGGAACCAAGATTCTTGTGGAATAATGCTGTGGTCCTTCTACTATTACTCCACAATATAGGCTCGTTTTATCTCTTTTTATGAAAAAAAAGCCTCTCCAGTTACAACCAGAACTTTAGAAGAATAGATTTGAATCACTCCTATTTTTTACCAAGAGTCAAATCTGCTTACCACTGTGGTATCTCCCATGTCTTTAGCAGCATGATCCATGTATCACTTGAATATTGTGAGATTATCTGATAGCTTTATAGTAAGATAAGGTATCAAAGAAATTACTCCTGCTCTCTGGCAGTGTTTATACCTATATAGAGATTATAGTAGCTTGACTTCATTGAGATTATAGTAGAGAATAGACAGAATAGACTTTTTTCAGTTGGAAGGAACCTACAGCAACCACCTAGTCCAACTGCCTGACCACTTCATGGTTGACCAAAGGTTAAAGCATGTTGTCTAGGACATTTTCCATATGCCTCTTAATCACTGACAGGGTTGGGGCATCAACCACCTCTCTAGAAAGCCTGTTCTGGAGTTTGACCACCCTCTTGGTAAAGAAATCCTTCCAGTCTGAGCCTATCCTGGTATAGCTTTGAACCATTCCCATGCATACTGGGTAAGAGGGAGCAGAGCTCAGCACCTCTGTTTCCAGTTCCCCTTCTCAGGAAGCTGTACGAGATCAAGGGGGTGACCCTTCAGCCTCCTTCTCTCCAAATTAGACAAGCCCAGAGCCCTCAGCCGCTCGTCACAGGAAGTTTCTTCCAGCCCTGTCACCAGCTCTGTTTCCTCTGGACACATTCAAGGACCTTCATATCCTCCTTAAATAGTGGGAGCCGGCACTGCCCACAGTGCTCCAGGTGAGGCTGCACCAACACTGAATACATTGGCAGAATCACCTCTGCTGACCAGCTGGTGATGCTGTGTCTGACGCAGCCCTGGGTGTGTTTGCCCTCTTGGCTGCCAGGGCACTCTGCTGGCTCACGTTGAGCCTGCTGCCAACAAGCACCCCCAGATCTCTACCTGCAGGGCTGCTCTCCAGCCACCCCTCTCCCACTTAAATCTTGAGCCTGGCATTACTCTGTTCTATGTGCAGAATCCAGCACTGGACTTGTTACATTTCATCCCATTAATGATTGCCCAATGCTGCAGTCTAATTAGATCCTTCTGTAAGGCCTCTTGTCCCTCAAGAGTGTCAACAGCACCTCCCAGTTTGGTATCATCAGCAAACTTGCTAATGGTGCATTCAACTTCTGTATCCAGATCAAAAGATATATTGAACAGAACTGGCCCTAGAATTGAGCCATGAGGAATAGTGCTGGTGACCAGCAGCCAGCCAGGTGTAGCCCCATTCACTACAACACTTTGCACTCAGCCTTTCATCCAGTTCTTCACCCAATGCACCATGAGCCCACTCACCCCACAGCTGGACGCCTTGTCCAGAAGGATGCTGTGAGGGGCAGTATCAGAAGCCTTACTAAAATCCAGAAAAACTACATCCACAGCCTTCATCCACTAGGTGGGTGACTTTCTCATAGAAAGACATCAAATCAGTTAATCAGGACTTCACTTTTGTGAACCCAATGCCTGATGATTGCATTGTTCTTTAAATGCCTTACAGTAGTATGCAGTACAATCATCATTTTTCCAGGAATTGAGGCTAAACTAAGCGGTCTGTAGGTTACTATAGTAGTTTGACTTAATTTGAAAAGTCAGGACATGGGTGTACTTCTTGGTAATTACTTAGTATTAAAGCAATTCCTAAATCAGTGTAAGTGGTTAAATACTTAATTTGATTGAGTTTTTTTTTAATAAATGTTTTAGTATAAAGCAAAAACCTTTCAATCAAGGTTATTAAAATATAAAGTTGATTTTAAATGTTAATAAATCGTTTTCCTTTCCCTTTTCCATTTTTCCTTTTCCCTTTCCTTTTTTTCTTTTTTTCCCTTTTCCTCGTCTTTCCCTTTGCTTTCCCTCCACCTCACCTCACCTCACCTCTCTTTTTACTTTTTTCTTACATCTTCAGTATTGTTGCTGCTGTGTTTTTTCCTCATCCTTCTGGTGAGTGTAACGAAATAAAAGGGAGAAGCTCCTCCTATGGAAAGACTAACAGTTGCCATGGTTGAAAGTAGGAAACAGAGAATTGAAGTTACATCTCCATGCCTGTTGCTTGTTAGGAGGGAGATGGTTGCTAAATAATTTTACGTTTTCCACTTTTTACATTTGCTTTAAGTCAGGCTGTGAGCCTTCCCTGAGTTTCTCCTTTTAGATCAAGAGTTTTTAGGTATGTTAGTCATTCTGCAGCCTCATTAGTGTATGTGTGACATCCCTCAGGATACAGGAAAAGTTGGCACATTGCTTTTCTGAGCACAGCTGCAGCACACATCAGAAAGATAGATCAGTATCAGCTATGAAAGTTTAGTCTTTTTTTAATTGAAAGAATGTCTGGAAAATATTTTAAGTATATGTCAGTCCAACCAGAATATGTCATAGTACCTAGGTGACCTGCCTGTCTGCTCTTCACAGTCACTGATGCAGGAAGTGATACTTGCACTGTGACATGCAGAAACTCTGACTGAGACCTTTGGCTATTGAAGTGGCCATATAGCTACAGGATTTGGGTTATTTTCCCCATTACACTGCAGAGCCAAAATATTCAGTGTGCAGAAAGGCTCGTGAAATACATAAAGTCAAAAGAATTGTAGGCTCTCACAGTAATGTCTGTTCCTCTTCAGAACTCAAATTTTGCTGTCTCGCTTTTCCTCATATCTGCAGTTCTCCAACCTTAAGATCTTAGCTCCAGTCTCAGCCTGAGAGAAGAAAGGCCTTTCAAATGTCAGACATAAGTATAATGACTATTTTCCTAACTTGCCTCTTTCAGATTCTCATACATTTCTGGCATCATAACAGAGAAGGAAAAAAAAAATAATAAAAAGAGCAAAGATGACAAAAAGTGTTCCTTTTGCCATCTTAAAGTCTCAGAATAACTTACTTTGTTGAGGTTGTAAACAGAATGTTAAAAATTAGTACTTTCTTACACTTTGCTTCAAGGCAAGTGTGGCTAAACTTAGATTGCTCTGCTATTCTAGGGAGTCTGTATACTGTTGATTATGATAGTCAAGGTAGTGCCACCATGCTTCCAACTAAGCAAATGATTTAACCACCTTCTAAATATGGTTTAAACCTAAGAACAGTGACAATAATAAAAACTTTTTGTCTAGCATGCCATGGCACAGCAAACTGGATCATGTTAGGCTTTGTCTGCTGCCTAATTCAACGTAACATAGATAAAATAAATCAAATGGGTGACATTCTATTAGACTTGAAAGATGATAGCTCTTGTAAAACAACTGATGTGAGAATATATCAGTGCAGTAGACTTCAGATATTTATTGAAGTCTTGCATCTTTGAAACCCAGCAAATGAAAATTTTAAGGGCTATGAAACAAGTGACTGCAAATACAGCAGTATGCTTATTACTAACAAATCTGCTGCCTGAAACAGAATTCAGCTGAACTTTATGTTTTCTTTGTGTGCCCAATTAATTTTTTCGTTTCTGAAATTGCTTCCTAGAGACATCAGCTTGAACTTCAAAGCATACTGCTATGAATGCTTTAGTGATTACTGTGGTAATTAGATTAAGAATTTTAGTTACTATAATTCAGTAGTGCCTACCAAAGAACATTTCAAGTTTCAGTGAGCTAGGATTTAATAACACATGTTCAAAGAAGATGTATCCAAAAAAACATTTTTAGTTTTTCCAACACTGTAATAAAAAATTATGTATATCGTGGTCACTTTTAAGGAAGGTTTTATTTGTGTTTCTTTCTTGTATTTCTTTCAACTGTTCATTTTAAATGCTTAAAGCAATTCAATGTGTGATTTGTTATTTGAGCCTTTAAAAAGTTGATCTGTTAATTACCTTCTGGTAAATAATCATGGGGTTGCTTTAAAGGTTGTAACCAATTACGAAGCCTATGAAGTCATGCCTATTCATGTAAAGCTGTGTTCTTTTTCTGATTTGTGTGCTGTACGAAGGCAGAATGCTCAATTCTAACTCAATATGCAGTTTAAATAAGTTTTTTATTTGATCAAGTTGATGGCATTGTGAATTGAATTTTTCAAAAATACTGCAAAAACCTGGTTCAACAGCGAGGGTTGATTTATTATTTTTTTAATATCTGAAAGAAGAGTGGAAATGCTTTTATTTATTAAAATAACATGTGGCCTTCCCAAATATGGTCTTTGTTTTATAAAAACATAATGCAATTTCTTAAAGCTTACAAATAAATTGTTAAATTAATTAAAAATTGAAAGTAGCTTTTTTAAGAAATCTGCCTTCCAGATCAGATTTTTATATGTGTTCTCAACAGCAGAACAACAAGCTGTCATGGACAATACTGCATTTATGAAGGGAGTGTGCCCTCATTAGTTTATGGATTTATTCATACATAATTTTAATTATGTATGAAGTTTCCAGCATTTGAAAGGATAGAATTAAGGACATTTGGGTACTATGTCTGTAATTTTGTTTTTGTAATGTTTGGATTTCTCTAAAGTTCAGCCTCTGTGAGTACTTACAAGTTTTAGAGTTCTTCACACTTGTTCTTTAGATTATTAAAATGCTTCTCTAAAGTATCTTCCTCAACATTTGACATGTATTCATAATTTGAAATTAATGTTGCAGTTAATATTTGGAGAAAAAAAGTCAACATTAAATGTCTTTGGGTTTTGTTGTAGGTGTTACAAGATAAAACCAAGAACCCAAAACTAGACCAAAAATACAATTAACTTTCTTTCTCTGTGTAGCCCACTGTTTGTGAACGGGAGCTCTGTGTATTTGCTTTCCAAACATTAGGAGTGATGAACGAAGCTGCTGATGAAATTGCAACTGGGGCTCAGGTAGAATTATCTAATGCTTATTATATGTCTGATTTTCTGTAGTACACCCAATCTTCTCAGTCTTTTAGTACTTATTTTGACTTGTATTCCCCATATGAGTTCTGTTGGGTAAGTATTATTTATTCATCCACTGTTTTATGCATTGCATTTTCAAATAGTACTAATGAAGTGTTTCCATTGTTTTGCTTCCATGCAATTAGAGTAACCCTGTTTTCTTGGGGTTTTGTATTCAATTAGGTCACCTGGGTTGTTAATAAAGGCAGCCATTGTCATTTGGAGATAATTCCCACTTATTTTCACCTAATGAGCCATTACTACTCTTGCAATTAATAAGCTACTTCCTGTTAATGGAGTTGGGAGGCAGCTATCCACTGAGCATCTGTTGTTTTGATCTTTAGATAACAGTGGAAGGTCCTTACTGAGGTTGCTACATAGTTCTTTTTCTCTTTTGTTAAGTATTAGGAATTTAATAGAAGCTTGCTTTCTGACTCCAAGTTGGTTTTGATGTAGTTATAGCCATATCATAATTTTCTTTAAAAAAGTATTTTAGACTATGTTTCCAAATTGCCATTTAACCTTAGATTACAGTAAATTCAAAAGTTAAAAGATCTTATGTTTAAGATCCTTTTAGGATCTTAAAAGCTTATATATGTTACAGAAAAGTGCATTCCTCTGATTTCCTAGTCACATGTCGCTGTGCATTTGTGTGGTAAGCAACGTGGTTTTTTGGAAGAGCAAACGTTTGGTTCAGTGAACTTTAATGAGCACTAGTGAGTCTAGACACTGGAAATAAGCTATTCAGGTAGCAGCTGGAATATTGCCTGTGGGCATATCCTCAAAGGAAGATATTTGCAGCAGTGCACATCAACTTCTTCACCTGAGAATATGACTGTGGGATCTGAACATCCGCTCTTCGTCTGGTGTCTGAAGACTGTTGGATAGACTGTTAGAAGACTGTTTGTAACATCTAGCATACCAAACATTGGGATACCTCTGTAACCTTGTAGAAAATTGAGAGAGGTGTACTGATGAAGCCCTTCCTTTTCCTCAACCTGCAGTACTCTTAGACATCAGCTGTGGGATACCTGGTCTTGCCCCGACCCAGGTGCAGGGCCTTACACTTTGTCCTTGTTGAACTTCCTGAGGTTCACATGAGCCCACTTCTTGAGCTTGTCCAGGTCCCTCTGGCTGAAATCCTGTCCCTCAGGTCTGTCAACCACACTAGTCACTTTTGTGTCATCTGTGAACTTGCTGAGGGTACGTTTGGTCCCACTGTGTGCATGTTTTATGAAGGTAGTAAAAAGTACTGGTTCCTTTGACATCACATGTCACCATTCTGTATCTGGACCCTAAGCCATTAACCAACCCCCCCTTCCTGCCTTAAGGTCCGTCCACTTGAGAAGTGTGGGAAGAGAGTTTGACAGTGAAGACAGAGGCAAAAATGTTGAATACCTCATCTTTCTCCTCATCCTTTGTTACCAGTTTTGTTCACCAGGGGGCTGTGTTTTCTTTGACCTTCTTCTTCTGGTTGACAGACCTGTAAAATTCCTTCTTGTTATTCTTCGGCTCCCTTGCTAAGTTCATCTCCAGCTGTGCCTTGGCCTTCCTGATCCCATCCCCATACAACCAGGCACCATCCCCATACTCTTCCCAGGATACCTGCTTCCACTGCCTGTACATTTTCTTCCTGCCCTTTAGTTTGACCAGCAGGTCTTGACTCCACCATGCTGGTCTCTTCCTTTGCCTTCCTGTTCTGATTTCTTACACGTGGGGATCAAGAGCTCTCAGAGTCATAGAATGGTTTGGGTTGGAAGGGATCTTAAGATCATCTAGTTCCAACACTCTGCCATGGGCAGGAACTCCTCACACTAGACTGTTGCCCAAGGCTCTGTCTAGCCTGGCCTTGAATGCTGCCAGGGATGGAGCATTTACCACTTCTTTGGGCAAACTGTTCCAGTGTGTCACCACCCCCACAGTAAAGAATGTAGTAAAGGAGCCTAAATATAGATTCCTATTATTAGAAAACACATCCAGGTTTTTTCTGCTGTGATTTCACACTGGAGTTTCCTAAGGTATATACCACTACTTTATCACTCCCAATTTTCTGATAGCTCTTCCTTAACAGTAAGTGGTTGTACTTCCTAAAATTCTCAAGCCTGAACTTGCCTTATTTTGGTCATATAGTCAAAATGCCTGAGAATTAAATGTCTTGATTTGTTGATAGTTCAGACTCCTTGTAATCTCTCAGCTTTTCCTTTCTTGCATGCAAAAGCCTGTTTTCACATAGGAATGTTTTCAGAAGGCTCAGAAAAAAAAGGGGAATGAGCTAATTTGCAACTACATTTTTATGTAGCATCTGAATTTCACTGTAAACTGGATTTAGGTTTCAGAGCTGCCAGAAAGCTGCATTCTTTCTGGTTTGTGATTACTTTATTCTATTTTGAACCTCTGAATTACGAATTTTGGAACAATTGTATATGTGCCTATGTGTACATATATGAATACATGCTTGTGTACACATTACATGTATGATCTTATGGTGAAATCTTGAAATCATAGATATTCCATGTTGTAATTTTGTACTATAGGATGGAAGGAAGATCTCCTCATGTGAGCCCTGCAAATGACTATTAAATCACTGCACTGTTCTGTCTTAAACAGAAGAAATGTTTACAAGTCTTTCTGTGATTACAGTCTTAAGGAGAACAGCAGGCAGTGGTACAGGTTTCACAAACCTTTCCTCATTCATGAGCAACTTTTTTCACTGGCATCTACTGTACAGAGATGTACAGATCCAGCATGACTTCATTCCCCTAGAACATGAATTTAATCCAGGAATTAGCACATATGCACAAGAGAAAGCAGGACTGCAAGCAATGAATTTGACATGATAAAACATTTAGGACCAGGTACTGCTCCTACTTATGCACCTGGAATAATACATCAGGGCTGAACCCTAAGCCTGTTGAGGTCAATGGAAAAATTTCAGTACTAAACTATGTCCTGTTGATACAAGTTTGGGTAATACAGGTAATAGTGAAATGTGGTGTTGCTGGTATATGTTAAAAAGGCAGACTGGAAGATACAATATGAAAGAACATCTACTGAATATTTTTTTTTTATGTGTAGGTGGTTGATCTGTTAGTATCCATGTGTCGTTCTGCGTTAGAGTCACCTAGAAAAGTTGTCATTTTTGAGCCATATCCTTCTGTAGTTGATCCTAATGATCCTCAGATGCTGGCCTTTAACCCCAGGGTAAGTAGTTACCTTTCACTATGTCGTAGCTTGGTTTTGGTCATGCATGAGATTTCAAAGCAAAGCCTTTTTCTAGGAGAAGTCTTCTTTACTATAAGAGATTCAGCTCCAGAACATAGCACAAGCATGTGACTATTTTCAGACTTTCACAGCTTTTTTAATAATCTCTGAGAAGGTATTTGAGTATAAACTTTTAAGTTGCATTCAAAGTTATGTCGAAACCAAGACATTATTTTAGGGTAAAAGTTCTAGATGCAGAATTTTATCTTCTTTATTTCTTTCAGTGTACACATTGATCAGAAAGAGAAAGACAGCCTTTGGGAGGTGTAGACCATGTAAACTAGGGGAGTTACAGTCCATCTCTATTCTTAAAGTGGTTATTTCTGTCATCTCATTTTCTCCTTGCAAACAGTTATGTCATTAAATGTAATTTTATCAAATGTTGACATAATAGTCAAGTTTTGTACAAGCATCCACTTTGAAGTAAAGAACTGTGCTTGCACTGTGTGCTTCTCAGGCTGCAAATGCTGCCTCTCAGGGCATCTCTCAAGAAGGTGTGAACCATTACACCTCACTTGAGCTATTACGCCCAAGGGTGTAAATGAGAACTTTGGATGTCCTGCATTGGGATGCATTTCACTTTTTCTGAGCAAAGGCCAGTTAGCAGTGGTTGTTCCTCAAGAAGGAGTGTTTCCTGCAGCATGTGAGAAGGAAGACTTGGTTGGAAGGGGACTGATAAGGAGAGAGCTGGTCTGGTAGCTGGGAAAGGTGGGAGTTTGAAGTAAATGAAGGAATATGCATGAGAATCACACCAGAAAAGGAATGGAGAGAGCCCCTGAGCTGGCAGGGCCCAAACTGCCTCTCAGCTTCTTGCCAGCATAGGCGGGGTGAAAGCCCATGGGCAGAAGTTGGCAAGATGCAAAGATGGGGAACAGGGAAGCGTGTGTTGGAATTTCCAGTGAAATTCAATCATGAAAAACAATCACGATAATAACTGGGGGGAGATGGAATTTTCCTGGACTATGAATGAAAGAGTATAAGGTGGAAGGAAGCTAGTGGTTAGAAGAGTTTGAAAGGATTGGTTTGCTGACCAGTCCTTTCATCCTAGCTTTGTTTTTATACACACTCAAAAGAATTTGGGTTTTTCTAAAGCCAAAGACTAACATTCTTTAAATTTATTTGCTTATTTTATGCTACATCAGAAGAAGAATTATGACCGAGTCATGAAAGCATTGGACAGTATCACTTCAATTAGAGAGATGACACAGGTGAGTTTTTTAACCTAACTTAATAGCTATTTCTAGAACTAGGAAGATGTTTGTATTACCTGTGTTGAGTGGGGAAGTCAGTACTATAATCTCTTTCCTACAGGGTTGTAATAATATTAAAATAAGTTTTAAAAATGACAGATGTAGAGTATCCATAATGGCAATCAAATAAAAGTGATGAAGTAGAACTAAGACCTTTTGAAGTTTAAATAGCAAATAATAACAGCAGAATGGGACATGTAACGAGATAATCACTAATTGCTGGAAATACCAAAGACAAATTGGGCCTTTTATTTCCAAAGCAAAAGAAATTGATTTTGTGATAGTGTTCTGAAGGATAGCTTTATTTCTAGTATAGCAAAATTCTTGATCAGCTAAGTATTGCTAGGGACTTGGAAGGTTAGGTCTCTTGGGACTGCTGTCATATGATTTCTCAGTATTCACAGTGGGACAGATAGCCATACTTAAGTTTATTGTTACACTTCCCTTCCCCAAACAGCTCAGCTGTTTATGACTGATTATTGAAATCTCTCCCTTACTTTTGCGACTGGTGTATAACTGCAACGTCACAATTTATAAATCTGACTTTATATGTATTTGTGAAGTACTTTAGGATTCTGGAATGAAGAATCATAGAGAGGAGCAAAATAAATTGAATATTAAATTTCACATACTTCTGTTACTTAATATAACATCTTGTAAAAATAAAAAAGCCATTATCTCTGTTACCTAATATAATATCTGGTAAAAATAAAAATTACCACTATTTTGCTTTCTTTAGTGTTAAAATAATTCTTGGACTTTGTTTATATGCCAATACTGTATCTTACCATTTTATACCGTGAAACAGTTAAAAAAAATGGAGTGGGTTATCTTGGAATATTTTGAAAGACTTAATTCTGTGAAGTTCCAGTCCAATTTCTTAATCCAAGAACCAAACATAAACAGATGTCTTCTACTGTTCTCCCTGAGACCACCAATATTTGCTATAAAATAGTCACTTAGATGCTAATTATATGCTTATTATGTTACTCTAGGGAAAATAATTGCTATATTAATTCTTGTTGTTGTCAAAACACATTTATAACTGTACAACACTAAATATCAGTAAAACTGAATCCAGCCTAATAATGAATTCCATGTATTCATTTTAATAGATGAAATCTTGGGCAATCTAACGTACAGAATTTAAGCTTATGATTTCAACTACAAATAAAGAACATAATAACTCTTTTCTAGGCACCTTACTTGGAAATAAAGAAGCAGATGGATAAACAAGACCCGCTTGCACATCCTCTTCTACAATGGTATAAAATTGACTCACATGAGATGATAATTATTAAAGTACCAAGTGTAATGAATAATCACTTCACCAGTGTGATTTGGTAGAAGCTCACTGTAAGAATTAACGTCAGGTTTGACATTTGCAACTGCAGGTGTTTCTGAACTGTTTCTGGACATCATCTGGGCCCTACAAAAACACTGGAAAGACTCCAGCTTGTTTGTAAGGCCTTTGAACTCATTTTCTAGTCAAGATTTGGTCTACTTCCATCTCACAGGCTCAAAGGGCTGCAGCTGGGTGCTTTGTGGCGTCCATACATAATACATTTTTAAGAAGAAAAGTTCTGTTTGGTTACCATGTCTAATAATACATCTAACTGTTTCTTTTAGGGTTATTTCTAGTAATAGATCACATATTGTGAAGCTACCAGTGAATAGGGTAAGTGTTGGTGGGTTCTTTATTATTTTCTCATTTCTCATGGCTTCTATTAGCATTTTAGGTGGGATTCTTCTAGCCAAATGTAGGTGTCTACATTCAGACTAATCACATGGACTCCATTAATTGACAAGGGAGAGAAATAGGCAGTTTCAGGTCAAAACTTAGAGAATCATGTTGTGAATATCTGAAATAGGTCAAAGGAATAAAGTTCATAAAAGCCTATTTGAGGTGAGTAGCTCAGATAAAACTGTCTACCTTGTAGTCATCTGAGACTGGGTGAGAATAACTTCACTATTTGTTTCATTACCACACAGAATATTAGATACAGGATTGTACAGAAAGCAGTATGTAGATATGACACATATAATTACATCTCAAAAAGAGGTCTTGAATTTTAGGGGGATGGTGCTGCAATTCATTTGAGTGTGTGCCTCTGATCCTCTGATTAAGGGCATAGTAATCTGCAACCATTTAGATCTGAACCATAGTTCAAAGACAGCTTTGATCAGAGCACTATGATGAAATTGTTCAGTTATCTTACTAGAGCTGTATTAGGCTGAAATCTGTTTCATTATCTTCCATAGTTTTAATAAACTGAAAAACATTTTCACTGTTTGATTTTAGGTTAAAACTATGGTAATAAGACCAATTTCAACTTGGTTCATGTAGTTACCAAGATGCAGTCATGCATTGTGCAGAATAGCATGGTATCTTAAGAACTTCCATTATGTAAATATAATGCATTTGTGTTAATCAACTTCTTTTCACTTGTGCACTGTTATGTTTTACAGCAACTAAAGTTTATGCACACTCCCCACCAGTTCCTACTTCTCAGCAGTCCACCAGCCAAAGAATCCAATTTCCGAGCTGCTAAAAATCTCTATGGAAGTACCTTTGCATTTCAGTAAGTGCATATATTCATACTAATCCAGGTTTATCAAAATACCATACTATTTTTTCATTCTTGTCATTTAAGGTTTACATCTGTGAATTTATTGTTTTAAAGGATTATTGATTTCATTTTGCATTTTATGCTGTGGATGTTAATGTTTTATTTTTTATTTTTTCAGTGGTTCACACATTGAAAACTGGCATTCCATCCTGAGGAACGGCTTAGTTGTTGCTTCCAATACGAGGCTGCAGGTAAATAGTAAACTAAATAGACTTTAGCTAACCTGTATGCTGGATTAGAGATTAGTTTAGGCACATTTCAGGAGGTGTAGTTCTGGTAGTCATATATGTGGAAAAATTCAATTACCCTCTTCTTTCCTGGAAAAGGTACTTCCTGATGCAATTAAAGTGAAATAATGTGGCTGCTAAAATGGCTAGAAAATCCCATTGCTAGAATTGGTGCTTCAGTTTTACACTGCAGAGCAGCACCTCCAGCAGCCTTAGCTCTTTACTGCTTAAAAGCTGGGCTTGAATTAAAGTTTAGAGCTACCTAAACTATCTCCATGTTGTAGGATCGAAAAGCATACTGGATTTACAGAACCTGGGTTTACAGCATCTTCTCCTCTGGTTTCTTTGGAAATGGAAATATGAGTGTACTGCCAGGAGGGAGATGTAGCAGACTTCAGTGTGTTTTCTCGGGCTGAATCTTCAGAGATTGTTGAAGAGCAAAGAAGACAATACCAGAGGGACTGGGGAGCTGTAACTAAGTGTATTTTAGCATCATGCCTTTGACAGCTGTTCCCTAGAGCTTAGTCCTTGGTACCTTGGAAGAGTATCCTAGGGTGCTCACTGAGGACTGGGGTACACAAGACACTGAAATAAAGAGAAATTGAAATCTCTGCTATTTCTCTTAGTGGTTTGTGTGTTTTTATTAGTATCTTCGAAGGTACTAAAGCAAGCAGGATCTACACACAAAAAATTCATCAATCCACTTTGTTTATGCTTGGTTTTTTTTTGTTGATGGTTGAAATACTGGGAATAATAAAGCCCAATTTTATATAAGTAATCATTTTTAGATCTCTCACACACCTAAGGCATATCCTGTACCCAGTTCGTATCTACCCCAGTACTGAACAGCCAGGAAGTTACCAAGAGTCCTGTACAACATTGTAGTATCTGGAGGAGTGAAAGCACGTATGTGCGTTCCTGTGAGAGCTCTGGTACATTGCAGAGCCAATGTAAATACCATTGGGTCAGAGGAAGGAAGTAAGAGTAAGCGTGACTCTGAAGCCCAGTGGTCATAACAGCTATCAGACAAGAAAATGACTGCAGGGCTAATAAGAAGTGTTCACTTTTGTTGCTCAGCCCAAGCTTCGTGACAAGGAACAGCAATGTTGGTGAAGAGTCTTCCCTTTCCTCTGTTCTTTTCAGACAGCTAGTAGTTTTATTGCTAAAGCACACTCCTGCAGTGATGGGATCTATATGTCTGAACTGACTCAGGCAAAGTTTGATTGAACCCATTCCTGCAGTACTCAGGCTGAACTAGTGACTAAATTTTTCTGTAGCATCTGACCAGTGTCATCACTATCTCTTAATTTCTTACCTTAAAGAAAACAAAAGCAGCTCTTGCTGCTGTTAATTCACAGAGGCTGGCTTAGGCTGTGCTTCCTGCCAAGGTTTTGATGTGACATACATGTTGAGCTTGCTCATCCTTGTTAATGCTGAGGTGTACCTGCCCATGTACAAAAGCACCCTCTGTAGACATTCTCCCTGGTAATGATACATTTAAAATCAGAAAATGCAATTTTAGATATAAATCTGATGTTTGGGTATTTGGATATGGTGCCCAGAACATACAGTATTTCAGTTGTTTATTTGCAGCGTGATTTCTTTAGCATTTTCTTTGAAAGCTGTTTATTACCAGGAAATAAAATAGTGCAGTGGGGCAGATTCTTATCTACATTACGTCTTGTTCCTATCATTATTATTTTGTCCAGATAACCAAATTAATGTTAAACAATCACTTTGCTTTTTTCCAGCTCCATGGTGCAATGTTTGGAAGTGGAATCTACCTTAGTCCATTGTCAAGCATATCATTTGGTTACTCAGGTGATACTTATAAATCACTCTAAAGCTGGAGAAATATAGGGGGATATTTTAGTCTACTGCTTTTCTTACCCAGCTTCACTGTTTACAACACTGTATTAAATTTTATCTCTGTAGGCTGCCAATTAACTTATTTAAAAAAGAGAAAATCTAAATTCCCTTATTAAATACTATCCTAATTTTCCAAGGTGCTCGGTATCTTGAAACTGTTTTGAAGTAAAGGGTAGCTAACACTGGATGCTGTGTGTAATGGAACAGGTCTTGATTATGCAGTGGGAATCCAGCTTTTTGTATATTGTTTTTTTGTCAGTATCTGCCTAAGTTCATCTAACATGGAAAACAGATATTCATCAATAGATGTGTTCAGCTGTGTATATTTAAGACTGTTCCCAAGTATCACCACCTCAGGATTACAAAGAAAGTACAGAACAGTGTGCTTACTTTAGCATGAGAAGGGGATGGATCATAATTTGTCCCATTAGTAAATGCAAAAGTGAGTCATGTAGAGTTTTCCACATAAGAATTGAATCAGAAGCATAAGAGAAACAAGATACAGCCATGTGTATTTAAGAAACTTTAGAGATTTTAAAATACAGTGTCTTTTTCATTTAGGTACGTTGTATTTACCATTTACGCACATATGGAAGTACTGGTGTAGTGGAATGCATGTTTGTATGCATTTAGATAATTTTGAGAGCTTTAGTTATGCTTTCAGATTTTCAGTATTTTTAGGTAATCTCAAAATTCATTTTGAAAGCTCAGCATTTTTTACTACTATTTATTGAATTTCAATATCAATAATTTCTAAATGCACTTTTAGCTTTTTAGAGATGACACAAGTATGGAAACTTTTTTGGACTCTCTAAAGGTGCAGGTTTCAGTATCATTATCTAACAAAATGACCAGTTGGCCAGCATTGGTTTGTCAGCTTCAGTGATTTTCTCATCCTTTTCTTGGTCCTTCCATCCAGTCTCCTTTAGAAAGGAGGCCTGTGTTGCTATGAAGTATGTCATACTTGATGACAGTGAAAACCACAGAGGAATCCTACACTCCCTGTTTCTTCAAAGAGTTAAATTTCTCCATAGTTCAGTCAGTGTTTGCAAACTGCCAAGAAATATGGGATACTGGAAAGGCAAGGAAGCCTGTAGCAGCCATAATATAATACAGGAATTTTATATAAACCAACATGAGGAATAGAAAAGAGATCTGAGGCACAAGTGTGGTCTTTAGTGGATCCAGTGTTGCTGACAATTTAATACTTTTATGTGTAGATAAATTAACCAAGATAGACTTTAAAACTTGAAATAAATTAACTACTCTTAAAAATTAATTAGGCTTCCAATAAGTCTACATAAAGTTTCTGTTTCATTCTCTATACTTAACTTTGCTTATTATGGTATTTATATGCCAGAGTATTTTACATGACTTTAAAATTCCTAGGGATGAACAAGAAGCAGCAGAAGGTGTCAGCTAAAGATGAACCAGCTTCAAGCAGTAAGGCCAGTAATACATCACAGGTACAGTACAGCAACCATCTCTGAAAGACTTACAGTTTTATGCTTAGGAACTTGAGAGCTGAAAAGGAGGTAATATTGCCTTTGTGAGAGCTAACAGTTTTATTTTATTGAACATTATCAACAACTTCAGAGACTGCAAACATCAACTACAGCTAGACTGCTTTAGTATCAATTTATGGAGTGTACTGCAGGTCTTGTGCACTTCTTTTCCAAGCAGAATTTGGGAAGAGAAGGAAAATGAAATATGGATTGCTTTATAACCCTTAGCATGCCCTTGCTTTCTGAGTTCTAGATGTACCGAAAAATGATGCAAAAGGAATTGAGAGTGGCTATTTATAGGAAGTCAGTTTTTCTTTTTCATGTTTTTTGCATATTAAACCATTCCAATTCTGCTTTATCTAAAGCAAACTTATAACATTTGTGTTTAGGGCTAGATTTTGAGAAAAAGATCTTGACTTTGTCTCCATAGTTAACACATAGAAACTACAGAATAATGTCACTTTGGAGACAGATTGGTATGTAACAGCAGAAGCCCTTAGAAATGGTAACACTAGTAAATTATCAGGGTAGTGGTCAAAGAACTGGTGGTCAAATTCACCTTTTTTTTTCATCTGCTGTCCATTTTTTTTATAAATAACACTCATAAATTTCTAATGGTATTATACATTCTATAATAATGAGAAACTTTTCTTTCTGAATAAAGGAGTTCAAATCCTGCCTACAGTAATCCAATCAAATAACATAGAAGTTTTTAGAAATTCTATTGCATTTAGAAATACAATAGAAAAGTGTTATAAAGTCTGCCTGTGTCTTTGTTCATTAATAACCCACTGAAGATAGTAGCCCTCTCCTTTGTTACTCTTTCACTTAGTTTGTCTTACTGCACTAATTAAGTTTTCTCATGTTTTTACATCCCAGTCACAGAAGAAGGGACAGCAGTCACAATTTTTGCAAAGCCGTAACTTAAAATGCATAGCCTTATGTGAAGGTAAGCTGAAAGCCCTTGAAAAACTGTTTTAGTCATGGATACAGTGTTACTGGATGCTAATCAGTGAGACCTTTAGTTCCAGTATTGGTTTTAGGTAAGACACTACTGGGTGTATGAGTACGTACTTAATAGTTGACCTTTGATTTCAGCTTGGAACATTTTCCTCTTCAAACAAATCTGCACATGCTGAATGAATATGTAATAACCATGTGCATATAGTGACTGATCATTTGGTCTGACTTTCAAATGTGATTATATTCCTAAACCATCAAGTCATGGTCTTTACTTGAAACATTGACTTCTTGCAAGGTCTTGACAAATGCATGAAAAACCTAAAAGTCAGAAAAAACAGCTTTCCTACTGAATTTCCAAATAATTTCTCACTGCTCAGGCAAATAGACTGTTCATCTGGTAAGCAGTCTGTTCTCTCTGACTGCTTCAGAAATTTTGTGAAGTTAAAATCTGGTACATACTAGTACAGTCATTCTTGAAAGATTTGACTATTCTCTTACTAACTAAGGAAACCTCAGCAGGTTTGGAGTACAAAGGATTATGAAATTTGAATAAGAATTGTACCAGTAATTGTTAATTAGTTTCATTGGCCAAACAAAAAGAAATGACACTAAACTCAGTTTGCCCTTCATTTGGAGCATTTGTTTATTTTTAGAAGTAAAAATTAAGACAGTGGAAAAGGTATTACTTCAAAGTGAAAGCAGCTGAGTCTAGTTGGAGGCCTGTAACTAGTGGAGTGCCTCAAGGGTCAGTACTGGGACCAGTATTATTTAATATATTCATCAATGATTTAGATGAGGGAATTGAGTGTACTATTAGCAAGTTTGCTGATGACACTAAGCTGGGAGGAGTGGCTGACACGCCAGAAGGCTGTGCTGCCATCCAGCGAGACCTGGACAGGCTGGAGAGTTGGGCAGGGAGTAACTTGATGAAATATAGCAAGGGAAAGTGTAGAGTCCTGCATCTGGGCAGGAACAACCCCAGGTTCCAGTATAGGTTGGGAAAGGACCTGTTAGAGAGCAGTGTAGGGGAGAGGGACCTGGGGGTCCTAGTGGACGACAGGATGACCATGAGCCAACACTGTGCCCTTGTGGCTAAGGAGGCCAATGGCATCCTGGGGTGTATTAGAAGGGGGGTGGTTAGTAGGTCGAGAGGGGTCCTCCTTCCCCTCTACTCTGCCCTGGTGAGACCCCATCTGGAATATTGTGTCCAGTTCTGGGCCCCTCAGTTCAAGAAGGACAGGGAGCTGCTGGAGAGAGTCCAGCGCAGGGCAACTAAGATGATTAAGGGAGTGGAGCATCTCCCTTATGAGGAAAGACTGAGGGAGCTGGGTCTCTATAGTTTGGAGAAGAGGAGACTGAGGGGTGACCTTATAAGTGTCTATAAATATATAAAGGGGGAGTGTCACGAGGATGGAGCCAGGCTCTACTCAGTGGCAAACAATGATAGGACACGGGGTAATGGGTACAAACTGGAACACAAGAGGTTCCACTTAAACTTGAGAAGAAACTTCTTCTCAGTGAGGGTGACGGAACACTGGAACAGGCTGCCCAGGGAGGTTGTGGAGTCTCCTTCCCTGGAGACATTCAAACCCCTCCTGGACACATTCCTGTGTAACATTATCTAGGTGTTCCTGCTCCGGCAGGGGGATTGGACTAGATGATCTTCCGAGGTCCCTTCCAATCTCTAGCATACTGTGATACTGTGATACACACTACTTTTATATATGTATATATATTTTGAGGGTGCTCAAGGGAAATATTTAATGTGATTAAAGAGATGTTGTTCAGCCTGAAAATCCAATTTGAACTGGACAGTTTCGTTCTAGAATTTTTAGAAGAAGATATGAAATAAATTTAGGGTTTAGTGGAATTTACTTGGCCTTTAATGCATAAATTTTCTAAATAAAAATTATATCTTTAACAAGGACTTTTTAATACCATTAATCATAGCCCAGTATATTGGCTATGATCCCTCTGCAAGGCCTCTTGTCCCTCAAGAGTGTCAACAGCACCTCCCAATTTGGTATCATCAGCAAACTAGCTACTGGTGCATTTGACTCCTGCTTCCAAATCATCAACAGAGATATTGAACAGAACTGGCCCTAGAATTGAGCCATGAGGAACAGCGCTGGTGACAAGTGATCAGCCAGATGTAGCCCCATTCACTACAATACTTTGCTCAGCCCTTCAGCCAGTTCTTCATCCAGTGCACCATGAACCCATTCACCCCACAGTTGGACACCTTGTCCAGAAGGATGCTGTTTCAATACATTTATCCAAATCTTTTCAAATACAGATTGATGGTATAGCTTCTACCTATAAAATTACCTGCATACACTTTATTTCAATAAAAAGGTTTCTTTCTTTTATTGTCCTCATTCTGCTGGTAAACAACCTATCATCAAATACACCGCTATTTTCTAAACACTGAGCAAGTTTCAGCAAGCTTTGTGATCCCCTTGAGTCATAATTTCTTTGCTTACTTTTAAAAAAAAAACATTTGGTAGTATTTCAAATCCCAGATATGTCATACCTCAGTTTCAGGCTTTGTCTTTTGTGTCTTTTTTTTTAGTTTGGCTCAGCCACCATCAAACAGAAAAATCTCTATTCCAAAGTGTGATTAGTTGACTCACATCCTCCTTAAGAGCCCTATGGCCATTTAAAATCAGTTTTTAACAAATATACCTTTTCATCTTTCATTCCAGTTAACTGGCTCACATACATCAGACATTTGTGTTTACTGGAAAATATAGTGTATTTAGGAAACAAAAATCAAGTTCATCTCCCTGTTTGTACTAGAAGCCAGCTCAGATTCTACACCACATTACAGATATGCAGTTGAAAACTACACTTTCCCAGAAGGATATTTAAAGTGTATAAAAAGGCAAATCTTTTAAAGCAGTATTTTCCTGGCATGTTTTCATCACAATGAAATTTATTCTTTCCCCAATAGTAATAACTTCATCCGATCTGCACAAACATGGAGAGATATGGGTAGTTCCCAATACGGATCATGTGTGTACAAGATTTTTCTTTGTGTGAGTACAAAATTTTAACTTTAATCTTCAGTTTGTCCTAGACCTTTTTCCCCACGTTCCCTCCAATAGATGTACTTGAAGTAGATAAAGGATGTTTCTTCCTACTTCTTTTTAGTATCAATTTTTTATCTTTCTCTGTATTTACTTTTGTTAGGTTTAGTAGCTGTTTTGCTACAGAATAAATGATTGGAGAGTCACTGATTTTTTCCACTCTGTAGCCATACCTTATGTTACAGTAAGCCTACCCATATATTGTAAAATATTATTTCTATTCGATTGTATGTTTTAAAGTTGAGGAATTCATTAAAGGATTCTTGTTTATGGCGTGAACTTTTTTCCCCTGACCCTTGGGTCCTAGTGGCTTATTCAGCATCAGGGTTTCAATGACAGTGGCAGCCTTACCGCCCTTCACTGTAGAGTTTAGGATCTCCATATGGTGGTGAAGTGCAGCAGAACATTTTAATAGAAACATATTAATGTATGTAATAATCACTCTTGATTACTGAATGAAACAGTCATGGATGTTTTTAGGTAGATTAATAAAACACTAATTTGATTTTATTTTCTTTACTTTTTTTAGTTATGAAGATGGTCAAGTGGGTGATACAAGTATAAATACACAGGAACCAAGCATTCATAAAGAGATTCTTCGAGTCATTGGCAATCAAACTGCTACTGGTTAAAAGGACCACTCTTATTTAATTGATGTGATTTGGAAGCCTTCCTCAGTCTCAAAGCTGGATTTTGAACTGAAGAAGATGCAAAAAACTAATTTGTTATTATTAAAAGCAAATTAACCCTTTGAATACTTACTGTTTTCTTACTTAGTATTTCTTATCTCATCAAAATACCTGAGATGGTATGAATTAGCAACTGTAGGGGTGCAAAGTCTATTAATATACTACAAATAATTAATAATAATAATTAAGCAGGCATTTGGGTTGCTCACAATAAACAGACTTTAAAAAGGAGTTTTGTGCTGATATTTTTATATTAAACTTCAATTGGATGTTTTAGTACTCTATACTGGTATTTTAAATTTAGAATGACTGAATTACAAGTGAGAGAGAAGATTTTATAGCGGAGCACCTGTATTATGCAGGATACTTTGCAATAAGTAAAATACTCTCATATTTAAACATAATAAAAGGTTGTCTGGAACATGTCAAATTAAAGAGATTGGTTACCTGCAGCTATCTTTGATTGATTTTATTTACATAAATGCAGTTAGGATTTAGAGTCAGAGGTTAAAACAACAATTTTTTTTTTATGTAATTATTGCAACAAAACAAAAAGTAACAAATGTGATGGTGTATATTTAGTTTTCTTTGTCTTCTCTGGAATCACTGTCTATCCGTTAAGCTTAGCAAACATCTGGAAATCCTGAAGTTCTTCCTTTTTACAAATTTGGTTTTTATATACTAGATTTTACAGTTTCTTGGTATCAACAAGATTCTTTAATGCTTTCATCTTAATTTCAGTGAAACTGGTCTGTGGTTGAATTTAGCAACATATTTAAAAGTACATGCTTAATTGAGTTGACTGTTCATACATCAGAAAAATACAAAAAAAAAAAAACCAACAAATTTTTACTGATTTTCTCAGTGAAGTATTTTTATTAATTTATTCCTAAGGGTAAACAGTCCAATTCAAATTTCTCTGCCCTTTAAATTAAGAACTCTTTTTTTTCCAGGTGAGCATGATGACAACACAGATAGGGAGGGCCCCAGCCTCCAAGGCATAAAGCCTATCCTGTGCCCTTGGTGGCCCTCACAGTAGCTATTCGGAAGCATTAATCACCCCCTTGACTATGGAGAGCAGTTCAATTTACTCATCTGTGCAACTATTACAGGCCACCTCAGAAAGCAAAAATAGACTGAATCCTCTATTATGCTATTTTTGTAATAAAGATACTGACGCACAGGTATATTTGTTTCTTTCTAACAGAACTACATCAGATATGTTGTAATGGGTGATTCCTTCTTCCTTGTTCAAGCTACACTTCCTTACTGCTTGCTGCAATTGAGGTTCCCTACAAGTAGAATAGTATTATTGGGCCTAGGAGCATATACTTAGATATGCCTTTTAGCATTTGAAATTTACTTACTGGGGACTTCAGTTTTTCCAGGTTCACATTCAGACTTGTAAAGCCAATCCTGTTTGCATATCCCTATTTTGCTATTGAATTTCTGTTAACTTTGACCCCCATTTGGTGAACTCCTACATTGAGAATCACTACTCTAATTGTTATCTTTTATGTTGGGACAAAAGTAACTTCTTGAAACAAAGACTCCTGAAATTTGTCAGTCTAAGTAAGGACTGCCTTACGTTGTGTAACTGCACAAAATCACTATAATTGAGAAGTGGAGCTGAAAGCCCAGAAAGATCATCTCTATATAATTTGTCCTGCCATATTTGTCTAAATTGCAATGGTTTGCATAACAAAAAGAAACTAGGAAGCAAGTTCAAAAGGATACCTATGTTGACTTGCAGGTCTTGCAGTGCCACACTCTAGGAGCCCTTCTCAAAAAACTAGTTGAAAATAAAGGTGACCATGACTGAACGGGAGAAGCCAAGTAAGCAGTGATTTTCCTTGTCCCATCACAATGCACCAGGGTCACAGGTGAGCCGCTTGAAGGAAGAAAACTGGAATATAGGTATGACAGCAAGTCAGCTTTGGTTTGCACAGTGGGGTCATAATACCGGCCATGAATGGTGCCATCATTAAGTACATGGGAAAATACGTCTCTGGTAAATTTTAAGACTACGCAGAGGTTTGTTTTAAATGAACGAGCAGGAGTAAGGGACAGCATGGAGGAAAGCAGGGCTCTGAAGTGTATGGAGGACTTCCTGTTGTAAGATGCCACTTCAGGGAGTACTGAGGTGACTGGCTTATGCGTGGAGAAGGGTGGCCAAGAGTAGAAGGTCGAATGTTTTGAGCACAGGTGTTATAAAGCAGTGGTAGAGGGCAGAACTTTTCAGGGAGAAAGGATGTTCTAAAGGGACAAGGGGGTTGCTTGTAGGAAAGAAAAACAGCTGAGGTGCCACTGCAGTGCCACCAAATTACTGACAGACAGCATCAGCAGATCAGGTCCCACATGGTGCATGGCAGGAAAAGGGACTGGGAGAGTGAAGTTACACTGTGGGGAAACATGGGCATGGGGCAGCACCATGCCTAGGGAAGCTGGGCCACATGGGAAGGTGTCATGCTGCAGAGGACAGTGCAGGGACACAAGCCCGGTGTCTCATGCAAACAGCAATTGAATTAAACCAAAATTCACTCAATACACAGTAACTCAGTCACTTTTTTATTTAGCCAGTATATCAACAGGATGCTTCTTTTAAGGTGCTATATTATCAGCAGGTGACCAGGAGTCTTCTGCTCATTTAAGCAGAGTATTAGTTCTTATTTTTTAAAGGTGAGGGGAAAGAGGGAGGCTCTTCAGGGGTTTATTACTCAAAAATAAATAACCCTTCTATAGCAAATCTGAAAGTTTAAACAAAGACTTTATCACAGAGAACTTGAATGAAAAAGCCCGAGGATGAGATTTTCCTTGAAGAATTTTTCCCTTGTGGTTTTATCCAAGGGCAGAAGTTGCATATTACCAAATTCTTCCAAATACTTGTGTTCACAAGTATCCCAGGGGATGGAAATAAAAAAAAAGCCATGGTCATCTGAGCAGCGACTCTGTCTTGTCCCCAGAGCCCTTGCATTTCCCTTCTTCTATTATCATGCGTACGTATTGGTGAGAAAGCAATCTTTCTAACTCCCACTGTAAAGATTCAGGCTTTCCACAGATAGCTTTTAATAAAGAAAATAGAGCCCCAGGCTCTACTATCTCTTGTGGCAGAAATCTTCATGAACCCATTGCTATCTAGCTGTGACCATGTTCAGCATGGAGCAACCAAGGGAGCTCCTGGGGAAAAACTTCTTTCTACATCCCACGACAGATTACAAGCTCACAAATAAAGTTTGACACAAAAATTATGTTTATGCCTTAATGTTGCACCCTAATTATGAATTGACATATTGAGAACATTGAGAATGGAATCAAAAAATATGATTTTAAATCTTTCTTGAGGAAAATATTTAGCGTTCAAGGGGTTAAGCAATTTGAGTTATCTTCTCCTATGATATGAATCAACATAGCTCTGTTTTCTTCAGCAGTCCTACACTTTTGGTAACCTGTCATTGGCTCCATAATACTTACCATAAAATGACCAGTTTGTGTAATATTCTGCATAATATCTTACAGAAACTAGTTGATGACACCAGGATTGTTTTTGCGTACGTTTTTCTTTTAAAGCCATTGAAAAACTGGTATTAATGCTGTATAATTTTAGTATTTTAACTGTTGGTACTAAAAATGCATCCAATGAATAATGCTAAAATGATGCTTTTGTTAATACAAATACAAGATCACTCCAAATGAAAACTTTGTGCTTAGATCAGTTATGATTTGCTTCTAGTCCACTTACTACTGCAGAAGCAATTGGAGTACTTCCAATGTGGATGAGTACAAAGTGCAAAAAAATCAAAGAAAGGGACAATTGAATGTAGAGATAAATGATTTACAGAGAAACACTAACAATCCCCCTAAAATATAACAACTGTATAATAAGTATTATATTAGTTTTGATGAATTTCTTCTTTGCTCTAGAAAATGTAAGTCAGATAGATACAAAGAGTGCAAGCCATGACTGAAAGGGAGGTAATGCTATGGGAGCAAAAGTACTCTGTCACCATAGCATTTTCATAACAGATGGATCTGGGGCTGGACCCCCTGTTGTGCTGAGCACCCATCAAAAACGTTGAGGGTCAGACTCTTGAACAAACATGGGTAGTTTTTGTACCAGCTACTCCTCGCTCTCATGGCATCTTTTTAGAAGCCACTGAGGCAAAGGGCCATTGTGATGGGGTCAACGTGCAGATGTGAGCAGAACTCAGCTTCTCCTTGGTTGCACGATGGTGGGACAGCCCCCGCGGTGGAAGGATGAAGAGGGGAAACTACTGGGAGGCCCCAGCAGATTGGTCCAAGCCTCGCCATGCACAGCCCCTCCACTATCTGCCAGTGCAGCGGCAGCCTGGGATCTGGCTGACCACACATCCACTGGTCTCTTGGGACATGCAGGGTCCTGTGGTGATTTACTTGCAAACCCAGGTCATTAATCTGGTGTCCTGTGCAATTTCTTTGTTACAAACACTACCTCAAGGTGAAGGACGAGCCTGTTGACTAAAGCAAGGTCTATTGTCTGGAGCGGTTAATATTAGGTGTAGCACTGAAAGTTGTCAGAAAGGATCTTGTGTCTAGTCAGCCAGGGCTGTAATAATAATCAGATTTATTCCTTAAAGTGCTCAGAAGTGGTGGAACACTTGTGTTTCAGAAGGGGATAATTAAATATTGCAAAATTTACTCAAAGCAGGACGGTTCTGCATGCATGGTGTGGTACAATACGCACAAGGATGTTGCCAGTAGTTTGAATTTCCAGATTTGGCTTTGGAAATGCCTAGTTGGAAGGCACTGGCCTCCTCTGTCTATCCTGGGGTAGCAGCTTCATACCCCTGCTCACTGGCTGGAGCAACAGCCAGTGGCACCTTGAGCTGCTGTTTCATAGTATTTTGATTGCATGTTCCTGCTAAGTTTCAGTCTACTGCAGAACATCTACGATGTAAATTACTACCCATTATACTTTCCACTGGGATTTGGTATACATACTAGGTATAAGACTTTTGTAAGGGAAATAAAGAAAAAAAAATCAAGTAGTTTTTAGATGAACATATTTAGCGTGTCAAAAACCTGTTGAAGAATAGACTACATTAAACATTTACCAGCAAGTCAGTAAAAACAGTCCTTTGACCCAGACATTCAGTATAATTTAATGCTCTAAAATAATTTTTGAATTTACCCAGTATGTATTGTATCTTTGAATTTTAAGAAGCAGACACTCCTTTATGTAAACATAAAATATGCCTATGTTTCTTTTAACTCTGCAGCCTTTTTTTCTTCAAATAAATTTATTAAATTCCATGCACAAAATAGTACTGCAGCCTGCTATTTAGCCTATGGTGCCTTAGAGTTACTACAAATATTTAACAAAATGTACATAATGTAAATACTGCCAGCAGATCACTAAGGCCAAATATTTTCTCTATTCACTTTTTACTGCACTTGCTTTCTATTGCTATTTAAG